TTTATATAGTGTTCTTACAAATTGCAAAGTTAATTTTCATTTTCGTTTATTGCTGTTAAATATGTTTTCGTTTGGGCTTGTATTATATTTGCCCCCGGGTTTATATGATCCGTTCATCCTATTTTGACTCATCAAAAATCAAGAGTCTATCCTAAATTGAGGTAAATTGTATGGCTTTCCGTTTCGATTCCTAACATCACTGAAGAGACATTAGTTGTCGAAATCCGGATATGGTGTACAAAAACGTTTGCACCTTTTGTTTGCGGTATATCATCTTTTCCGCAAGTTAATTGTTTTCTGTTTAGTAATAAATTTATAATTAAGATCCATTTATTACATCGGTGATCCGTTTATTTGGCAATCGCAAATGGCAGTCAGCAGGGTTTAAGAACATTTGTTGTTCGACCTGTTAGTCAAATGCGTTTTGTTAAAATATACTTTTTAACTTTTTTGGTGTTTTGGAAAATGTTGTTTGTGCTGTATTTAGACCCCTCTAACAAGAAATTTGTTTTGCATGCACACGTATAAAAATTGCGGTTTTTATCCAACGCAATCATAGGTTTGAACGTTGTTTTCAATTTAAACTTGTTTATATTTTTTCGTTTGGGCTTGTATTATATTTGCCTTCGGGTTTATATGATCCGTTCATCCTATTTTGACGCCTCAAAATTCAAGAGTCTATCCTAAATTGAGGTAAATTGTATGGCTTTTCAAATACCGTTTCGATTCCTAACATCACTGAAGAGACATTAATTGTCGAAATCCGGATATGGTGTACAAAAACGTTTGCACCTTTTGTTTGCGGTATATCATCTTTTCCGCAAGTTAATTGTTTTCTGTTTAGTATTAAATTTATAATTAAGATCCATTTATTACATCGGTGATCCGTTTATTTGGCAATCGCCAATTGCAGTCAGCAGGGTTAAAGAACATTTGTTGTTCGACCTGTTAGTCAAATGCGTTTTATTACAATATACTTTTTCACTTTTTTGGTCTTTTGGAAAATGTTGTTTGTGCTGTATTTAGACCCCTCTAACAAGAAATTTGTTTTGCATGCACACGTATAAAAATTGCGGTTTTTATCCAACGCAATCATAGGTTTGAACGTTGTTTTCAATTTAGACTTGTTTATGTATGATGTATATATGTAGTTAGGGAACGACCATTTAATTTAACTTCAAGGGGGGGGGGGGTTGTGTTTTTTTTCCCTAAAAATAATATTATGATCCCCAATTTGATGAAAAAAATATTGTGTTGTGGTCAAGCAGATGACCAAAAAAAATATTCGGAATCCAGATTTTCCCCATGCCTTAAAGTGTTAAATTTTGATAAACATAATTTGATTGATAGCGTCAAAACAAAATTTCTGACTGAGATAAAAAAAAATAAACCAATACAGCTTACACAGATTAGGACATGATGCTCGATCTGCATTAGATCTACTCTTCTCGTTATGACCCTGATAAATGCAACGGATTTGTTTCCTCCTCCACTGAATTCCAAAATAATCTCATGTGATGCACAAATATTTAGATTCAATGCTGTACTGTCAATTTTCTCTGAGCATTGTAAAAGTGATAAATGGGAACTTGCGTCCCTATCACAGTGGAAGAGTTGGATGGAAGGATCATCAGAACATACTGTGTTATACAATGTTGAAAAGTTACAAGGATTGCTCATTTTGGTCTGCTGTTGTCATTATTGCCTTTCTGTGCTTGTAGTTGGAGATTTAACTCAGGGTAATTAACTCTTGGTGCACATAGGTGAAGTGTCAAAATATTATTTTATTTCGATTCTTCTTATTTACAAGTAATAGCTTTTCTAAAAAGCTTGCCGTATTTTAGCTGCTTATATTGAGATCGGTGGTTTGTGGGTATAGGTTTTTTTATTGGAATCTGGCACTCCAAGCACTATGAATATATTGTGTCTTTTTTCTCCTGGTTTTTAATTTTAGTTGTAGTATTGGTGGATCAGGGTTATCATGGAAGGAGGCTTTATAGTCGCATATGATAATATATATATATATATGGTTTGTAATAGCTAGAGTAACGATACAAACACTTTTTTCTTTGTTTTGTGGAATATGATTGTTTACTCTTTATGACAATGCAAGTAGTTTTAACATGCATACTGTGTCTTGACAGTTATGTAATAGTTTGCAAGGTTATAATCAAGTTGGTAAGATAAACTGTTATCACAGAGATATGTCTCGCCTTTTTGTAATTTTGATAATGCAAATGTTGAAATTAAAATAGCAATACTTTAACATGTAATTTATGCAAATATTCAAAGTCGATGAACCATGACTGAAGGTACATGGCTAAACAATCTCCATGGAAATGAGATGTGCCAATGCTAATACAACTGCATACCAAATACCATTGACTTATTATAAGTCGTTCCCTTTAAACAAACCTAAACACAAACATTAACTTTTAAACTATGTAAAAGTTTCAAAGTCAATCAACTATGATCAGGGGTGGGGGCTATATAATCTCCATGGAAACGATACTTGCAAATGCCAATAAATTTGCATACCAAATATCATTGACTTAACATTAGCAGTTCATCTTAAACTGATCTAATCACAAACTAATACATGTAAACTAAGCAAAAGTTTCAAAGTAAATAGACCATGCCTGAGGGGGCGAGGCCAAATATTCTCCATGGAAATGAGATGTGCTAATGCTTATACAACTGAACACCAATTAACATTAACATTGGCATACCACTAATGGTTCCCCTTGAACTGACCTAATCACAAACTAATACATGTTAACTTAGCAAAATTTTCAAAGTCTAGAGACCATGACTAAGGGGGCTGAGCCAAATAATCTCCATGGAAGTGAGATATGCCAATGCTTATACAACTGCATATCAAATGTCATTGACCTACCACTAGTGGTTCCCCATAAATTGACCTAATCACAAACTAATACATGTAAACTATGAAAAGTTTCAAAGTCAATAGACCTTGACTGAAAGGCGGGGCCAAATAATCTCCATGGTAATGAGATGTGCCAATGCTAATACAACTGCATACCAAATATCATTGACCTACTACTAGTGGTTCACCATGAACTAGACCTAATCACAAACTAATACATTGTTGACGCCGCCATCGCCGTCGCCGACGCCGGAAACAGCATACCTATGTCTCGCTTTTTGACTCCGTCAAGGCGAGACAAACAACGTATTATTTACTGTTGAGGATTACTGCTTGACAAAATGGACTACCAGTGGCAGATCTAGAAATTTTCATAAGAGGGGGGCCGCTCCAGTCATGCTTCAGTGATTCACTACATGTATATGATTAACCAAAGTTTTCCCACAAAAGTGTGGGGGGGGGGGGGGGGGGGGGTCCCCTGAAAAACTCTCTAAATCCGCCTCTGACTACAATAGTTGGCCGTTCAAATATAAGAACATTACATCTTATATGTATAGAAGTCTTCTAAAATATCATCTAGTATTAAAAATAGGAAAAAATAACCAGTTGAATACAAAATTATATAAGAAGTTACCTTAAGGATATTAACTGTCTTTGAACATATCAAAACAAATATATTGCAATTTAGTTTTGATAATCATACTTTTAGCAATCCATGTTTTATACATTGTCAACTTAGAATAGTAAGTTTATTTTGCTTCTTTTGGTTAATAGTGATCTAATGTATGAATGTGTTTTGCCATGTTTTATGAGCATGTAGTATGAATGACTTCTCTAATGCAAATTTTATAGAATAAATAATCAAAACAACAACTTATGCATCTTTATTAGCAACATATACAGTAAAAAAAAGAATGTGAACTCATGATTCACACAGAAACGTAGACAAAAGAAATGAGGAGTTCCTTTTCCTATCATAAAAAAGTGCCCTGCCCTTCACTGGCACCCTGCCCCTTTCTATTTCTAGCTGGAGCACTGGAAGTGATGAATATCTCATCTGGCTTTTGTCTTAGGTCTTAGAAGAAGCAATTAGTTTTGAAGGTACAGATTAAGTGTTGTTATTACTAATTTCCAGATGTAGTATTACTGTAAGAAGATGTTTTGTGGTAATGGAGCGATAGTTGTTTTATTTGTTTTTGTTTATTGTCATGATTGATATGGACTATATAGCTTGCTGTTTGGTGTGAACCAAGGCTTCATGTTGAAGACCGTACTTCAACCTATAATGGTTTACTTTTACAAATTGTGACTTGGATGGAAAGTTGTCTTTGGTACTGATGTGACATTCTGTTATATCTATCGACAAGATTGAGAACACATTTTTTTGTAGTAAAACATATTTAATTCTATAATATCATATATAGCAATATATCGGTAATTTGTGCATTTTTCCTTTGATGTGTACTCTCTGATAATGTCAGTATCAGTTGACTGGTCATGATATATAAATTATTGGGTCAGTTTGCAATTGACATGCACGGGTGTGCTGTGTCAGGATCTTTTTCCCCCTTTCATTCACAAAATCATGCATGATTTTTTTTTGCAGAATCGCAAGAGTGTTTTGGTGAATGAAACATTTCATTTCTTATATTGTTTGAAAGTTTCAGTAAAGTTAGTTTTGCCTTTTTGACAGATTGTGTGAAAATTCGAACAGAATATGAAATGAAAAACCCAATTAACTTTTAAAAAATGCACTATTATTAATAGCTTTCCTTGCTTATTCACAAGGATGTATAAATATATCATCCATGCTATTCCGATCTGAGTTTTTATTCATACATAGTCTGGTGCTGTTCTAAGTAGTCTTCTTTTTCTGTTTCTTGAGATGTATTTGTTTTACCTGTTCAGTCACTATAAAGTGTTACAATTCATATTTAGACGCAACACAGAATAGTGACCAAAAAGGTACTGCTGTCATATGAGAGGAGCTAGAAAAAAAATGAAATGTACACATTTTCAACATTTTTGTGGGACCATGTATTCTGTTTCACATTCAATGTTTACTATATGTTTCCATAATCATCCGGAACAAATCGCACTGGACCGATTTCTTACATCACCGTTTTTATTGTACTACGTGACTACTTTTAATTTCTGTGACACCGTCTGCTCCAAAATTTAACACATGTAACATGGACGACACTTAATTATTTTCTGAGGAAATCGAGACATACCACTGTCAAGTACGTTTTATTCATTTATAAACTGTGATAATTTAATCTGTTTAACTCCGTTAATTTGGATAAATGATTTATTAAATGCATACGAACTGTAAGTTATTTATATCCGAGATTTGAACTGTAAATTGTACTTTCGTTTTCATTTCATTGTTTTAAATATTTGCATTTAAACTTAATATGTTCTTTCATACACATTGTAAGTATTTCCTTTTGTTTTATTGCAGTTTACCAAACAATACTGACTACTGTATAAACCTTTCTGGTGGAATATCATATTATAATTTTCAAAACAAGTTGTGTTCTTTATATATTCGCCGAGATTGCGATTCAGTCACCTGGTTAAACTAGCTGAGTCAGGCTCAGCATAGTAAATTGACAACAACTTGTCTACACATCTCCTGAACAGGAAATACAACGGAGCATCGTTCGTAGCTGTTACCTTGACACTACGCAACACAGCTTGTGTGTCCTAGGCAGCAAACCAACAACGTTGAACAAACATTGCCTACAGTTAGTTGATTTACATAATGGATCCCAGCCACGCGGAACAGCAAGACGAGATTCAAAATCCAGAGGGAGACGTCTCTAAAGAACAAATAGAGAATCCGTCTACTACAACACCTTTAGATGAAGATGCCGAGACTAGGCGAGTACGTGAACTCACAGAAAAGGGACAAGGAGTTTTTACAGAAAAACGTGACAAGTTCTATCATGACTTAGAGGCCCTATGGTCAGACCTAGAATCTCAGTTATTGGAAACGACCACGCCTCCTAACGACCTCCAACAATTGCTAACAGCACAAGATAGAATTGTACAAGCCTGTACTAATTATCGGAGGCTCACAGACGAGTACTTGAAATTTCTTAAAAATACAAGAACGTTAGACAGCCTTCAAGACATTGATACGTGTAAACTTTCAACAGATATCCGAATGTCTAAAGTTGACCTAGCAATTGAAACCTTACACGAGCATCGCCTCACCCTGACAAAGGCTAAATCTACAAAAACCAAGACATCTAAGGGCAAGAAAACCTCGCACAGTGGGAGCTCCAACGTCTCTAACATGTCAAGTCTTGCACAGAGGAAGCGTGCCAAAGCAGAGGCTGCTAGATCTCAGATAGCCTTTGCTGAAAAACAGGCCTTGCTACTAAAGCAGGAGGCAGTGATAGAAGAACAGGCTCTTTTCAAGCAAAATGAAATAAAGGCTGAAGCGGAACAAGAAGCCATCAGAGCGGAGCAAGAAGCCATCCGAGCAGAAAAGGACGCCGCTCAAAGAAAAGCTCAATTAGAACAAGAAGCCGCAAGTAGAAAAGCCGAGGCTGCACACCTGCAAGCTGAAATGAAACGTGAGGCCGTACGCAGGAAAACTATAATGGAACAAGAGGCTGCACGTGCAATACGAGAAAAAGCCGAAATTAAGGCTGCTATGAACATTCTAGAAGCACAAAGAGAAGCTGCAGCCGCAGAAGCCGAGGCTCGTATCCTTGAACACGACGGCAGCCAAGCATTTAGCGAGCTCCCTGGCGAAACGGAAGACCCTCTTCAGCGTGTGCAAGATTTCGTCAATAAACATTCTGTACCAACTGCTGTACAGGAAGTAACAGGACCTCAAAAGTTAAAACAAATTCCTGTTAAGATTGAGCTGAGTCATGAAGCACCAGCGTTCGTGCCATCCGTGGCACTGAACTTGCCGTCACAGACATCTGCTGTCTTGCCTTCCGATACTAAGTCACCGGAAGTTACCTTAATCCCAGATCTGGGAATAGTTACCGGCATACAAAAACTAGGCCTTTCAGAGGAGATCCCTGCTGAACACCAGAAACAAGGTGTTAAAGAAGAGATCCCCGCTACACACCTGCAACCAATTAATCCTACATCAGAGATAACTAGATTTCTTCTACGAAAGGACCTACTATTCTCCCGGTTAACAAGCTTTAATGACCGGGCAGAATCCTTCCATACATGGAAAGCAAGCTTTAAAAACGTGACAGACGAGCTACAAGTTTCTGACTCGTAACAGATTGATCTTCTGATCAAGTGGCTCGGTCCAGAGTCTGCTAAACATGCCATTAGCATACGAGCGTCGAATGCCAATAATCCTACAAAAGGCATACAAAGGTTATGGCAGAGACTGGATGAGCGATATGGTGCTCCAGAAATGTTGGAGGCCTCTCTCACAAGTAAACTCGTCAACTTCCCTACCTTGACGAACAAAGATAACGCACGTCTTTATGACTTGTCCGATATTCTATCACCCCAAGACTAAAGTTGGTGCTCATAAAACAGCGGTTGAGCAGCAATCTAGAGACGCCAGCAAACAAGGTCTTTGTATTCTGCACAATACAAAGCATTCCTTAAATGAATGCCGAGCGTTCCGAGCCAAGTCAATAGAGGAACGCAAAGGACTTTTGAAACAAAACAATGTCTGTTATAAGTGTTGCGATTCCACCACACACAGAAGCCGGGAATGTAATGCACGCATAAGTTGTAAAGAATGTGGAAGTAAACAACACACTACCGCACTTCACATTACTAAACTACAGCAACCTACAAGTTCTCAGTCTAGCTCGCCCAAGCAAGCCTATGGCGGGGAGCCTACAGAATCGGCTGAAACTAAGTCAACCTCAGTAAACTCTACCTGTACTGAGATCTGCAAGGATATATATAGTGGGAAATCTTGTGCTAAAATACTACCTGTGAATGTTTATCACAAGGATAAACAGGGCAACGTTATCCGGATGTACGCCATCATTGATGACCAAAGCAACCGGACACTAGCATCGCCCGAATTCTTCAATCTTTTCGACGTAAAAGATAAACCGGAGAACTATACCTTATCAACATGCTCCGGCAGAGTAGTCAGGTTTTGTCATGGAATCAATAAATGGTAATGACAAATTTGACCTGCCGGTACTGATAGAATGTGATCATATTCCCAACAATAGGGACGAAATACCTACTCCTGAAGTCACAATGCATCACCCTCATTTAAAAGAACTTAGAGGAAGCATTCCACCAATAGAGGAACACTGCCAAATTCTTCTCTTAATTGGCAGAGACCTTATAGAGGCACACCACATTCTTGACCAGCGCATAGGACCACCCAGAACTCCATATGCACATCAATTAAAACTGGGTTGGGTAGTGATAGGAGAGACTTGCATTAACAAGCAGCACGTACCTCTTGAATTAAACGTCAAATTCACCAACATTTTACCTACAGGACAACCGTCAACATTTCAACCATGCACAAGCAAGTTTGACATCCGGGAAAATTACACAGACCCTGTAAAGAAAGATTTACAATCGCCATTCTTTGAAAAAACAAGGGACGATGATAAGCCTTGAATGTCATATGAAGACAAAATGTTCATGAAGCAGATGGACAACGAATTTGTGAGGGACTCGGAAGGAAGTTGGGTAGCACCGTTACCGTTCCGAGTGCCAAGACAGCCATTGCCAAGCAACAGACCACAAGCTCTTCATCGTGCTAATATGTTAGACGCCAGTCTGAATAGAAACCCAGTTAAGCGGGAACACTTTCTTACATTTATGAGTAAGATCCTAGACAATAATCATGCAGAGCTCGCTCCACTGTTAGATGACCATGAAGAGTGCTGGTATTTACCACTGTTTGTTGTCTATCACCCAAAGAAACCCGATCAGATTAGGGGTGTGTTTGATTCTTCCGCAAAATGTAACGGAGTCTCGCTTAACAGCGTCCTGCTAACAGGTCCCGACTTGACCAATGATCTTTTAGGAGTATTGCTGCGTTTCAGGAAAGAAATGGTCGCGGTGACTGCAGACGTCCAACGCGTGTTTCACTGTTTTGTAGTCAGAAAAGACCACCGAAATTATCTGAGATTTTTATGGCATAGAGACAACGACCTGCAGGAGAGCCTTGTCGAATGCTGCATGAGAGTTCATGCCTGCCGTTGCTACGCTTGGTCTCAGAGGGGCGGCTCAGACATCAGGGCAGGAGTTTGTTACAAGAAATTTCTATGTCGACGACGGTCTTACGTCTTGTCCTACAAAGGAGGAAGCTGTTAAGCTCATGAAGGACACACAGCAAGCATTAGCAAAATATGGAAACTTAAGGCTTCACAAGTTCGCCTCTAATTGTGCGGAAGTTATGTCTGCATTTCAAGCCAGTGATTTGGCTTCAAATCTTAAGGATCTAGACTTAGATGTCGACAGCAAACCCCTGCAACGTAGTCTTGGACTCAGCTGGGACGTAAACACTGACAACTTCTTATTTCAATTGTCATCAGAAAATAAACCGATCACTCGGAGAGGGATTTTATCAACGATAAACAGCATCTACGATCCTCTTGGATTTTTAGCTCCTGTGATTTTACAAGGAAAGCTCCTACTAAGGAAGATAGTATCAGAAACCGTCGATTGGGATCAACCTCTCTCTGATGAGACAGCAATTGAATGGAAATCTTGGAGAGATACTTTAATAGCTATTGAAACATTGCGCATTCCACGTACCTACGTACAGTATCTCAGCAAAACCGTCATAAAGGAGTTACATGTCTTCTCTGATGCGTCAGAAAAAGCCATAGCAGCTGTTGCTTATCTACGCACGACCGACAGTGGTGGTGAACCAAACATGGGGTTCATTCTTGGGAAAGCAAAAGTTGCACCTACAAGTGGTCACACTATTCCTCGACTTGAACTATCTGCTGCCGTGTTAGCAGTTGAGATCACACAAACCATCGTGGATAATTTAGATTTACACATAGACACCGTGAAATTCTACACAGACAGTAAAGTGGTCTTAGGTTACATCAGTAACGAGACAAGAAGGTTCTTTATCTACGTCGCCAACAGAGTAGAGAAAATAAGGAAATTTAGCTCTCCAAGTCAATGGAATTATGTTCCAACGAATCGTAATCCCGCAGATTCGGGAACAAGGTCCGTACCAGCCCACGAAATTCATAGTGGTGAGTGGTTATTGGGACCGAGACAACTTCTTTCCTCAGAACAGGAGGAGAATTCCGAGGACATATATCAGCTAATAGATCCAGAGGAAGATGGAGAAATCCGCGCAACTGTTAATATTGCAAAGACTTTTGCCACAACTGAGCGTAAAGGTATCGGAACTGGAAGATTCAACCGATTCTCCAACTGGACATCACTTGTTCGAGCAATAGCCTTTTTGGAACGTTTCTCCCGTTTACACGGGTCAAAACAGGCAGAACCGGTGACCTCTCTTGAAAGCTTTTCGAATGCCGAAAACTTCATTTTAATGTCCGCTCAGCACGAAGTTTACGGAGAAGAAATAGATAACATTCGACGCAAGGAACAAATTCATAAGCGAAGCCCGATAGCTAACCTCAATCCGTTTTTGGACAAAAGAGGACTATTACGAGTAGGAGGCCGTATTGTCAAAACTGACTTAAACCTCCGTGAACAGAAACCTTTGATCGTCCCTGGACGCCATCATATAGCGACATTATTAGTCCGACACTACCATGACAAGATAAAACATCAAGGACGCCACTTCACAGATGGAGCGATTCGATCCGCAGGATTCTGGATCGTCGGAGCAAAACGCTTGATCTCTTCTATTATTCACAAATGTGTGACATGCCGCAAACTCAGAGGAAAAACTGAGTATCAAATCATGTCTGATTTGCCAGAGGACCGTCTTGAACCATCACCTCCGTTCACTAACGTTGGAATCGACACCTTTGGACCATGGACAATTGTTTCACGTAAAACCCGTGGTGGATACGCCAACTCCAAACGTTGGGCAATTTTATTCACCTGCTTAGTGACGAGAGCTGTTCATATCGAACTCATCGAGGAAATGAGCTCTTCAGCCTTTATAAACGCTGTCAGAAGATTCACAGCCATTAGAGGCCAAGTCAAGATCTTTCGATCCGACCGTGGAACTAACTTTATTGGCGCAATCGACGACTTGAAAATCGATTCAGTCAACGTTGAGGACGGACCCCTTAAGAACTTTCTGTACAATTCCGGTACAACTTGGATCTTCAATCCGCCGCATTCGTCCCACATGGGTGGAGCCTGAGAGAGAATGATTGGTATCGTTAGGAGAATACTTGATTCTATGCTTTTAAATGCTGCCGGAAGGAGCCTAACGCATGACGTGCTCAATACGTTAATGGCAGAAGTTTCAGCAATAGTGAACTCTAGACCTCTGGTACCGGTATCGACAGATCCAGAGAATCCGTTAATCTTAACACCAGCTATGTTATTGACACAAAAGATCGATTACATCTTCACTTCAGATCAGCTTGGAGAATTCGACAAACGGGATCTATGTCTAGCCGAATGGAGACGTGTACAGGCTCTGGCCAGTGTTTTCTGGTCCCGTTGGAGGAAAGAGTACCTGCCGCTACTACAACCACGACGAAAATGGACCGAAGATCGCCGTGATCTCATCAAAGGAGACGTCATTCTAAAGGATAACAACCTCTGCCGTACTCAATGGCCCATCGGAGTTATAGTAAACTCATTTAAAAGTTCCGACGAACATGTCCGGAAAGCAGAAGTACGAATCATCGTAAATGGAAAAGCCACCATCTACACACGACCAATAGTGGACATGATTCTTCTCGTAGAGAACGACTGTATATAGTTTGTATCAATCATGTTAATAGTGATACTTTGGATTTATATAGTGAGATCTTCAAGTGTGTTATATATTTGGAATAGTGATATAAGTTAGACATCAGACGGGGAGTATTCTGTTTCACATTCAATGTTTACTATATGTTTCCATAATCATCCGGAACAAATCGCACTGGACCGATTTCTTACATCACCGTTTTTATTGTACTACGTGACTACTTTTAATTTCTGTGACACCGTCTGCTCCAAAATTTAACACATGTAACATGGACGACACTTAATTATTTTCTGAGGAAATCGAGACATACTACTGTCAAGTACGTTTTATTCATTTATAAACTGTGATAATTTAATCTGTACAACTCCGTTAATTTGGATAAATGATTTATTAAATGCATACGAACTGTAAGTTATTTATATCCGAGATTTGAACTGTAAATTGTACTTTCGTTTTCATTTCAATGTTTTAAATATTTGCATTTAAACTTAATATGTTCTTTCATACACATTGTAAGTATTTCCTTTTGTTTTATTGCAGTTTACCAAACAATACTGACTACTGTATACACCTTTCTGGTGGAATATCATATTACAATTTTCAAAACAAGTTGTGTTCTTTATATATTCGCCGAGATTGCGATTCAGTCACCTGGTTAAACTAGCTGAGTCAGGCTCAGCATAATGAAGATGTGGTTTCATTGTCAATATATAGACAGATATTCATAGACCAAAGAACAAATAAGCAACTAATTCAAAAGTA